GCGTACGTAGCAGCAGAGTGCTCGACTCGGAACCAAAAGGTCACGGGTTCGAGTCCTGACATGCCACTGATCTTGTGCCCTTGGGAAAGGCACTTTACACAACTTTCCTCACACCGATTTATAAATTACGCAACAGGCAGCATGTGTTGGCTTGTCGTGTACGTCGCTATTTGTACTGCTGCAAATTCACAATACCAGCTTTATATTCCTGTGGTTTAGTAGCATTTTTATTTTTGGCCGGAATTTTTTTATTCGCCCGCGCGCACTAGTTTGGGGGTCTTTAGAGGATGTCATCCATAAAATTAAGGCGGTGTGGCCTAATTGTGGTATGGTAACTATTTATGAGTCTAACAGTTTCTATTATCAATGATGTTATGTTTTTTTATGAATCGTTGTACATGTATTTCAATTTTGTCGTATTTATTTCAGAAACACTGGTGGCATGTATATCTGTACCCCACTAAATGGGTAATATCTGAATAAAAATAAAAATAGTGTTTACATCATTTCTACTTAAAGTTTGCTATATTAGCTCATCTACGTAAGGTTGCTGAGATATGATAGGTCCTTTGAAACAAAACTGAAACTTTGAAATTAAACCAGAAGGCATCGGATGTAAATGAATAAGCCTGATCCTTACATCTGCTTGGGTTTGAAGACTAGCCATGTGCTACGGTAATGTTTGAGAAATATCGCTCATTTTTACCATAATATAACTCTTCTTTCCGATATATTGGCCTTTGAAACACCCACAAAAGCGTTGAAAACAATATAATGTGTATAACTTTCAAATTACACCGGAAGGCATGGGATGTAAAAGAATAAGCCGGATCCTAACATCTGCTTGGTTTTGGAGACTAGCCATGTGCTATACGGTAATGTTTGAGAATATCGCTCATTTTTACCATAACATAACTCTTCTTACGGATGTATAGGCCTTTAAAACGACCACACAAGCAATAAGAACAATATAATGTGCCACCCACCTTTCAATTCGGCCGTTCAACGTGTTTCAAGGACGGGTTTTGTAGAACTTGTCTTCAAGTCAACCGACGGTCACCATCTTGCATGGTTTGAAATGCCAGCCGCACCCTGTGTAACACGTGGGACTTCAACCACCTGTTGATCATTTGATTCCGATAATGAGATCAGCTTTAATTTTACGTCAGCTTGAAATATTGTTTAATTTACTCCACATTCCCACTATATTAAAAAAAGCCCAAGCACTTTATGGAAGTCTGAAAGCGCCGATTTCTTGTCTCAAATTAATAAGATACAATGAATAAGCAACCCATTACCTTACTGTTCCTAGCCCTAGAAGCAAGCGTTGTCCCGCTAGAAGTCTGTGCAGGACTGCCAGGAAATTAGGACTTTGCAGACGGTCTCACAGCGACACTTAGCAGCTCATATAAAAAACGCAGCACCAGACCAGTCGTCGATTAAATGCTATTAAATTGTCGAAACATTATGACGTAATGAGACGGCCATGTTGATGGCGGGAAGCTGCAGTTTCCGCGACGATTGGGGCGAAAATTATGTACAGAGTCAAGTAAATTGAGACTTGTATTAACGCTATCAAGTGCCAAATGTACAAGAAAAGTTCAAAGCATAATATCACCCCGACCAATCTAATCTGGACATTGCTCCGAAATTGATACATTCCTCACAAAATCGGACATTCCTCCGTGGAATGGGCCCACGGGCCGGCGGGGGTGTCGGCGAAATATCCAATCACGCGGAGAAGTGTACCGATTTTGGAGGAATGTACGCTCAAAACTGGAGGAACGTCCGCTCACCTGGAGGAGTGTACGCTCAAACCTGGAGGAATGTCCGATTTTGTGAGGAATGTACCAATTTCGGAGCAATGTCCAGATTAGATTGGTCGGGGTGAATATCCATTGTGTATCAGGACAAAGACAGCGCAACGTTACTAATTGTCTATGTATATTTTATTACTTGGAATGTAGACCGTCTTTGACTGCAAGATGCTTTGCAATATACCTGCAGTATTGATATGAACTGCTAGAGGTCGCTGTGAGACAGTCCACAGAGGCCGTAAGACTGTTGTGTGTGATGATAGGGATTTGTAATGCCCGGAGTGACTCACTGGGTTTATAACATACGATTTTGTAGTAAATACATGGAGAATCGTCAGGGTGATACGGCTAGGATCTCGGACAAGTTCTGAGCCTGACTTCACACTTACGTGTGGGCGGGGCATTGCCTAACACTGTACCATAAATTGGTACTCACACTACATTAGACCAAGGACGTTTTACATCATACTCAGTGACCAGTTTATGCCACATAAAATATAACATTACATCATCATTAGCCATCATTTTGCTTCCAAAATACGTGTATTGTAGCGTAGACTGTTGAGAAATTCACGATATTGCCTAATGACATCTGCTTGGTTTTCATTCATATGCTAATGTTTCTGACAGCCAAAAGTTGCTTCTGCAAGGCTGAGAGCACGTTATGCAAGCGATCAGCTGATCGCAAAATCACATTTTTGCGCATAACTCGGGAACGGAGAAAGTTCGGGAGAAGATATTAAGCAAGTATATAATAGAGACCCCAAGGAGTATACTCTAAAAAGAAGGCCACCGAAAAATGCCAAAAGTTAGATTTTTCTAAAATGAAAAAAGCGGATATTCATCCCCTATCACACCCCCATTTTCGAGCCCCCGTTCCGTAAAGGCCCGTATCTCGCTAAAGAAGCCTCGCTCATTCCCAGATTTGGCCATTTCACGACTTGGGAAACGAGATGGGCTCTTATGGGGGTTTTACTCCAAGTTTTTCTTGCTCTTGTTTTTGACCTTGAGGCTCACCCCAACTACCTGAATATCACTGATTTATTGGGAAAGAACCATTTTACTCTTGCATCTGTTTGTTTTGAGACAAACGTTCCTAGAACGGCTTATACGAGCGGGTAAATATGGAGTTTTTAGTCAATATTTTTGCCATTTTAGTGTTGACGAAGCCAGTTATCTCTAAAAACGTACCATTTTAGAGACTAAAACCCTCATACCTCCTTACACCAAATGAGATACTCAGTACAAATAAGACACTCTCAATAAGACTCAAGACATTTTGTATATAAACTTTCAGCACATGTAACTCGGTTAGCCACATATAAAATGCTTGAAAAATATATGCTTAAAAATCCTGCAGTAGTCCACATTGATTTTTCTACACACAAACAAACACACATACACAAGTTCCAAAAAAAAAAACAGTCAAGTTGGTGGTGAATTTTATGTCACATCATGAGTTGTTACACAGTTGGAACAGTCATAACAATGCGTTCGTATGTGTAAATCGCTCTGGCTTTAAATTAAAAAAAAAAACATTCAAATCATGAACAGGCTAACTACTGCCAGATACACGTTCGTTTTTGCGTTGTCATTCTTCATTTTCCACCCGGCGGCTTGTCATTTTCCACGTCCCGTTTGGCCACCTCGTGATGTCCAGTCTCTGCCTGAAGGCGGACCAACCGTGCCTTGTAGGACGCCACGTCCATTTTACTACGGGCTGTAGGAGATAGAAACGTTGTTGTCAGATCATCATGCTTTCTACATTTAGTTTTACGTGAAAGCAGCTAGAAAAAAAGGTTATGGTAATTATGAAAAACGTTATGTCCTTACCTTTGGCCCTGCCAATCTTCAAATGGCTGTTAGAAGTCATCATCTGGGACGACAAGACAAGTACAACAAGAAGGAACACCAGGGTAGTTTTCATCGTGCTGTGCAGAAAATCGACGACACAGTCAGAGGAAGCTGTTCTAATCTCTCGAAGCTGCTGTGGTAAAACAATGTTACAGGACAGTATGAATCTAATGTAAGTGTGACCAGACCCTTAGCAAAGTACGTCTACTTCACTATCAGTGCGATAAAACAATCTAGAAAGGAAAAAAAAAACTAAAATGGAAAGCTATTTATGATGCTAGACAGTCGTACCTGTGCAGAAGTTTGTGGATAGAATAACCCCAAGTCATCAGGTAAAAATCTGGACTGGCCGGTTTTGTCAAACGTCACAACTCAACACCTGCCTACGGCAAGAATAACCAAGGACGTTCAACGTCCTTGGAATAACCTTTATACCAATGGCCCTTTTCCTAGCCTGACTAAATCTGCGCTCCTAGCGGCCGGCCCGGTATTACACCACCAGTAGAGCTGCAATCCGAGAAAAGGCTAGGAGCGCAGATTCAGTCAGGCTGGCCCTTTTCCCACCAAGATAAAATTGTCCGGATCAAAGCGAATCAATTCGGCTCGATCCGGACAATTTTATCTGTGGGAATATGGGGCCATACGGTCTACAATACTAAAACGCCACGTGAAAATCTTGGGTAATCATCTTTATGCAATTCCCCCTCCCACGCTGCTTGGAATAAGTGTCTTGGGGTTCACATGAATGTATTGGAACTGTGGATAGAGTTATATAGTTTAATTGATTTTACAAATGGATTACTACCAGATATTACTAACACTTCAAATGTCACCCAGCAGTCGTTATCAATGTAATCCAGTTGTACAAATTGATGAAAGAAATACTCATATTTCTTCATTCATATCCTTGATGTTTAACCTTAAATAAATGTACAATGTGATCTTATCTAATCAGCATTACATTTCCTGAATTCTTGCACCCTAACATCTGCTTGGAGAAGCATACCCCATGTCTGTTTATATTGATGCTCATATACTCAAAAACAAAGCATTCAATAAACCCAAAGAAGACAAACACAAAAGTACTGCAATGTCACATTTCTTGTATTGAAAATTATTTTGCAGCCAATTGAAAGGCAACAATATACACATATAATATATAAAACACACTAAATCACGGAAATATTTTCCAGCATGCTGTAAGGGTACTTAAGTACCTGGCAGTTTTCATGTTATAAAATTTAAGTCTTTTTCCAACAACTTTGATCAGCCTTGCTGGGTGGAAAACAATGATAGTATTCATAGCAGCACAATGTTACAATGTTAATTTCATTGTGTGTAAAAAAAATCAGAACTTAAAGTGTGCCTTGTTTACTGATCACTCTACAACTGATAGCATAAGTGATTACAGAAGCTTACATATAAGCAATAAATATCAAATTAGGTACAATCATTTATATCTGAATTAAAGAAGTGCAGTCTACATTCGCTTAGAGCTACAGACTACATAAGCTATACTTCTATCTAGAAAAAACAATGTAGTGAAAGAAATTAAAATGGAAATTTTACAATAGAAATGACCACATGACCAGAAAACATACAAAATTCATCAAAGCCGGTCACATTTGTGCAGTAGCTACTAGTATATTTCATCAACACTATTTGACCAATCTTCCATTTTTGTAGAAACACTACGGTCTAAACAGCACCAAGTTTCACTGTTATTAACTACAAAACAATCTCCTTTGGGAGCCCATCAATTCTCAATACATTTACATTCAGATGTTAATATGCTTGCTTATCAAATGGAATGTGAGAGTTTTCTACTATTCAAAATCATTCCGTTCTTCTGAAGGAAAGTAGTTACTATTTATGTGGGAATACCAAATGAATACGGTTTCTATCATTGTAGAAATGCCTTTTAAATTTTTGGATAATAATAATATGAAGTATCTAAAAATCAAACAATGTAATGATGAGGACCAAAAGCTACAGAAAAGAAAAGCAGCTGTACTGCTCTGGCATTATGAGCTTTCTGCATAAGGATCGTTTGGCAGGGACAGCTTCCGTTGAGCTGTTCCGAAGTGTCCTGTGCTCTGATTGGCTGTAGGTGAGGAGAGCACGCCTGTCTGAACTGGGACAACCAATGGCGTGTTGTGAAAGAAAGTACTGTCCTTGTTCAAGGAGTTGGCATTTGGGGTTCTGATGAGAGGGTTAAGCTCCGGTCGCAGGGATGTCATCCCGTGGCTGTTGCCAGGCGACGTGTTGCCGCTAGCAACCTGGCCGGCTGACACCAGTGGCACAGCCCTGCTCTCTGATTGGCTGGAGGTGCAGGTGGTGGTGTTGCCGCCGACAACCTGGTTGATTGACACGTTGTAGGAGGGGTTGAGAGCGATGTGTACCGGCTGTGTGGTGATCCCCATCCCCCGTAGCTGCTGTAACGTGAACCCGATCGTGGACGGGCCAGTCGTTATAGCAACGGGAAGAGCAGTAGGGCTTCCTCCAGGGGCGATGCTTGGCACGATGGCAGATGGGAAAACCAGCGGCGACTGGTTAGGACTGGAGTGGGGCGGACTGGGGTGGTGCAGAGGGCTGGTCTGGGGGGTGACGAGGGAGGCAGGTTGCTGGAGAGTTGGTCCAAACATCGCCAGCTGGGGAGGGGAGGCACCACTTGCGTGTAGGAGGGAGGGAGAGGAGGGGAAGGATGTGGGGATGGGGAGGACTTGTCCAGTCGGGGAGTACACGTGCTCCAGGTCGGAGAATGACACAGGACGGCTGAAGAAGCCCACGGGGGAGCTGCTGGCGCTGCGGTTCAGGAAGACTGGCTGGTAGGGAGACGTGATGACGGGGATCACCTTAGCTGACAGGAGATCAGGGGGAAACATGGCTGCTTGTGGGACGCCCGACGTGTTGGCATCCTTCCTGTCAGGAACCTGCTGACTGGCTGGCCAGCTTTGAGGAAAGGGTTGGGGAAGGGCAGAGGATGGACTTTCTCTCTGATCCTCCTTGCTTTCACATTGAGAGCCATCTTGACTGGTAACTTGTTGGCGCTCCTCTGTATCTATGGGGATAGCCAAGTCCATGTCAGACGTGACATTGGTGGGCGAGCTGTCGCTTTTGGCTGGCGACGGAGAGTTTTGGAACTCGGGGGAGAGATGTAGCGCTCTATGCGGGGAGGGCTTGTGATTGGCCGACAGCTCCCTCTGCTTCTGATCATGTGCCTTCTCCACCTCCATATTTAGGCGTTCGCCTGGAGAGGCGTTCTCCTTGTCAGACTCAGAACGACTTGGGCTTGCTTCCTGGCTGCTGTTACCACTTGGACATATAACTGCCTCCGCGGCCGTTCCTTCTTGTTGGCTGTCACTGTCGCCTTCCTCCACCCTCCGACGTTTCACCACAGGAATGTACTCAAATTCGTCGCCAAGACGCTTTGGTTGAACTGGCCGCCCGCTTCTCCTAGCTGGCACTGGTCCCGCAGTTGACATTACCGACTGGTTACTCACCACACCGTCCGGTAGGGTCACCACTATACTAGACGGTACAGCTGATGCATTCAGACCCTGTGATCCGACGTTAAGATACCGTGCGGTCGCGGTGAACGCGCTGTTGGCACTTTGCAGTAGAGTAAAGGCAGTGTTGGCCATGCTCTCCTGCTTTGGAACACCCTCCTTACTTTCCTGAAGGTGCGTCATCCTGCTGACTTGTTCGTGTGACCCTGTTGTGGTGCTGTTCTGTGGTAAACAGTTCTGTTTTAGCTGTACCGACACCTTGGCAGCAGCGTTGGTTTGAGCCATGGTGCTGAGGAGGTTGGATAGGGACATCGTGGTGGCGAGAGGCTGGCCCGTGGTTGCCATGGTGACTGCTTGATTGGCGACCTTGCTGGGTGAGAGGACGATCCTGGCGGCAGTCCCCCGAGGACAGTTCTGTACAGGCTGCAGGATGAGGGTGTGGCTCGCATCTGGAGGGGAAAAATTGTTACATAGTAAGATACATGACTGGATGTCAGCACAAACTCTTACATGGTAGTCAGCGGAACTTACACAAATAAAAAATGTTTCTATCAAATTCTCTATAAGAAATGAAGATGATTTTTAGAAAGGTTTTAAGTACACTTGACAATCATTGTAACAAGTATGTAATTCTTTAATTTATTTGAAAACGAGTATTTTTCACCATACCCTGTGTGTAGTTAGTTATTCAACCTTCATGACTACATAGATTTCATAATGAAGGCAAACTTTTATTTTTATTCAAACGCTCACTGATCACTCATCAGTTTTGGGGTTCCCAGAGGATGTCATCCATATAATCACATCAATATAGCCTAAGTAGCCAAGAATTACAGAGAAGAAGTTTTTAAGTGTTGATAGCTATTACCTGCTGCTGATGTGGCAGTGTTGCCGGTCTGTGCTGCAGTACTGGCCGTTGCTGCCAGGCGGAGCTTGTTGGCAGGCAGGATGGGTCTGTACACCTTGGTGCACTGTGTTACCATGGCAACAGGCTTGGCGTCCTGTCCCGGCTGCGGGATGGGGTGTAGTGATGATATCGGAATCAGCCTCGGGACCTCCTGTTAGGAATTCAAGAAGGGAGACTTAAGGGATAGAAACAACTTGCAAAGAACTTGGCACCAACATGTTGGAAATTTCCTAGAACTCCAAGCCATCCTGACATGATGTAAAGGACATTTCTTTCTACAGGCTGGCAGTGAGATGCTACAATGCTCATACCCCAGTAAGAAGTAAGCAGCCCCTCGTTAAAATACAAGGAAAGAAACATTTTCTTGACCGGCACAAAGTTCTAAACAGCATTAAAAACTTCACAGTACCTATGTCAAAATCCTCAAAAATTCGAAAGAAAATACTGACTCAAGTCACAATCATGTTGAGGCTTAAGAAAAGAAGCAAATAATAAAAAAGAACTTTCTTACTAACTATACAAATTTTACAAGAAACAAATAAAAGTACACGTACCTTCTTGATAACAGTAATTTCTGTAGGCTGTTCTAAGTCCCCCCTGGGTACTTTAGCCGGCGGCTCGGCCTTCTGTTGACACTCCAGCAGCTGACGTTTGAGCGAGCGTTGTCTGTCCTCCTCACGCTGGTTCACCTCCTGCTCCAGACGACAGATCGCCATCAGCTGCTGCATACGCTCCGTCATACGGAACTGCTGAGGCGGTTCTGAACGGGAAAGGAAAAATATTTTTCTCATTGTTTTCAGCTGCAGCCAAGGATTAGATTGTAGAAGAAAGGCTGTGAGCAAGAGGGGTTATAAGATAGTGAAATAATGACATGGCAGACATCATTTCAATGTACTGTACTGTACTGTTCTGAACTGAATAAATACCAATTGTTTTAACATAAATAGATGTTGTGATCAAGCAAACTACAACTTGACACTTATTCCTTCAAATTGATTGCTGGCTTCCTGTAGGGAATCGAGGGATGCATTTTTTTCCTATTTTGACATGCTTTACATCTTTCATAGACAATCCTTATTGCGTTCAACATTTCTACCCAAGACATCAAGAACAAAAAAAGACTTAACGCAAATATGTTATATTAGACAATATAATATAGACTTTAATACATTTACAAGTATAGAAAATGTAATAACAGAGAAACACAATGGAAAAGTTACAGGAAGTCATCGAAATTCAGTAGGTGGAGTAACTGACCTTTAACAGGACTGTTGGGTGCTGAGGAGAAGGGTTTCTGTTCCGTGTTGGCTGCAGTTCCCGCTGGAACCTGGAAGGAGGCGTGACGAGTCAGACCACGGGGGCTGTCTGTACCTGAGGGAGCGAGTACACACACACCCAGATCTGTGAAACAGAAAAACAAGCATGAAAAATGAATGTTTGTATCAATTCTGCTAGTCTCAATATTGTTACTCCACATAATGAAGACTCAAACACTGGTTACTTGTAACTCGAACATACGGGATTTCTCTTTACAAGCATATGCACACCTAGTGATGCATACGTAAACTCAATTTTAGGTTCAGGTCCGGATTCAAGTCCAGAGGTTTAGGTTCAGGTCCAGACTTGTAAGTCCGGACCTAAACCCATGACATATACAAAACTGCATGTTGGCAACCTTGCAATGTTGTCTGGGTGAAACTTTGGCCACATAACATGGAGGACGGTACTTGACGATGCCCGATGGCAATGTTTTCTTCATTTTGCAGCAAAGATTTTGCAATCTACGGAAGGTTTTAGGTGGTTTGGAAAGAAAAGGGGCATGTGAAATGGTCTTTTATGGTAATAAGTCCGGACTCGGTTTTTAGTTTTTTTTGGACTTGAACCTAAACATTCTTACAAGTCCGGATCCAAGTCCAGTGAACCGGTATGCATCACTATGCACACCTAGATCTGGAAAAGGAAAATAAAAAGCCATAAAACAACGGCTTCAGGATCGAAATGTTACAAAACATCTTTGCAAGCTACTCTGTAGCTATAGCTTATTTCAGTTGATTGACAAGTTTAAAACCTACCTTGTGTGTTGTACATCGTTCCTTGGCTCATAACAGTTGGCACCGTGGATTCAACATTTTCTTCCACTGTAAATGACACATAAGAAATGTTACAATTCACAATGCACACCGTATGGTTCCTATTTCAGTAAGTCTGGATTTAAGTTTGGCTAATGTTTCTCAGATCTCAGAATTGCCAATTTTGCAATAAATACAATGTTACATTTTCTTTATCATTTTCCTTTTATCTCATGACAGCAAAACTACAACTATAGGAATCCCAACTAGAAACACAGACATAAATACATCTACTTTATACCCCTTACCTATATCTTATGGTGCCTCCTTGATCAGACATGTTGCAAAAAACACACATATATGCATAGTAAGTAGAAGGATAAAGTGTATGTTAGGAAAAGTTTCAATAAGAAAGAAGGAGCATCAAGTAGGAAAAATGCAGCGAGATGTAAAATAATTTTCCTATAGACTAGAGCTGTAAGAAAACTATAAAACAAGTTTTGCTACATACTTCGAAAGGTGTCAATGTCAGGATCAGGTCCGATCCATGTGAATGCAGGTTTCTTCCCGCGGTCTTCCTGCACCAGAACCTTCTTAATCAGCTCCAGACTGGTCAGCACGTTAGCGATGTCATACAGACGCCGGATCTTAGCTGGGAACAACAACACAAACATTACTTAAATTTCTATTGACAAGAAAATGAACAATTTACTTATTTCCTAATCTACTCTTGGTTATACAGATGCCGGATCTTAGCTGGGAAACATGACACAAATGTTATTTAACCTGTAGCACATCGAAGTAACCATTTAGATAACACTTCACTTTTGGTGAGATAGCAAAGAGAGGGTTAACCTTCCCAGAAAATATGGATGTACAAAGCAGGTAATAATTTCAAACTTCTATTAGTATTTTAAATAATACACAGTAGAATTCCCAAACAATTGATACCACAGCCAATTTTTTAGTTAATTCCTTAAAGTTTGAACATTGGACAAGACTTACTTTTGAACTTGGAGTTCTCGTCCGAGCAGGGCCCTCCCTCTCCTATCAGCACCTTAGCTGCAGTCTCCAGGGAGATCTCCTTGACCTGGGAGAGAAAAACATTTGTTTACAGATGTTTTTGTGCAATACTGTCTTTAGCAACAAAACTCTGGTAGCATTTTGTACAGGACAAAAGGCTCACTGTTTTAAACCATTGTATGACAAATGTAACCAGGCCTTCGCACGTTAAGAGCCAGTCTGACTGAAAGATTTACCTTGGACGCCAAGAACAGCATGATGAATTTCTGGCTCATCGCTCCCAGTGACTTGTCCCTACGACTCATGGCGATAGCAGTAGCACCAGCTAGTTGGGAGAAAGAAGGCCAAAAATCAGTAAAATGATAACAAAAAATCCTAGATATTACACAATGAATAAAATTGCTTGGCATGAATGACAACCCAAAAAATCAACTTCACTGCTTATATTCATAATTAAACAAATACTAAAATTGAAACTGCCACAGTACAATACAAATGGACTGGGAGCATAGACAGCTCCTACCTTTCAGTATAGATGAGGCGTCAAAGCGGTACCCCGTACGGTTGGGCATGTTCATGTCCTTGTTGACGTGAAGCGGCGCCTTGCGAGACCTCGGCTCAAACTCATCCTCCTCCTCCTGCTGTTTCACCTGGTCCATCATCTCATCATACTTCATCTCCAGACCCTGGACCTGGCAAAGAAGCGATGAACTGTCAGTGTCATATATAATGTCATATAAAGTACATATAATGTCAAAACTGCCTGGGTGGATCAATGAAATTTGGTCTATGTGAACAGGTGATCACTAATATACACTATGGACAGGATTCTTAGTGCTTATGTCCATGGGAAAAATACCTAAGGACCACCTTTTTAAGGACCGCCAAAAAATGGTCACATTGCAGAGGTGTAAAGGTGACCTTATGTAAAGGCAGCTTTCACTGTGTAGCTCACTCTCTAGTTATGCTGACCTCCTCTTTTAAGTTTCTGTATGCATACAACCAGAATTTATACATTTGTTCAGAGGCTGAAGCTATCAGCAAGGGAGTCTCCGAATTAGAGAGCAGTAACGGTTACTAATACCAATACTACTTACGAAGAGACAGAGCTAAATGAAAGAACTCGTGTTATCACAAAACAACAGCATCTGCAACAACAGAATCAAATTTACCACAATTTTGTGTAGTTCTGAGAACAAGAGGATAGTATGAGTAAGACCTACCTTGAGCCGTGAGAGTGTGTTGTTGAGCAGGGTCCTGCCGTGCCAGTTGTAGCGGTTCTTGGCCAGACGACTGACAACCTGCACACTCTCCAGCACATTCACTATGTCATAGATCCTCCTCCTCTCCACACCTGCACACACAAAAGTAATGCACTGTCAAACAACTGGAGAAAATATTTTATGTACTAATACAATCACATTGTTTTCTGTCAAAGTGGTAACGTTGTAGACCAAATCATTATCATATACATGTACATATGATACTTGTATATGATACTTATACAGCTGAAGAACAATACTAGTATGTGCAGCTTTTGCAAAACAAGGAACATACAATAAAATGCAGTCAGTGAGTGTGTGAGTGAGTGTACATAAATCGTACTAGAATACTGTCCATGGTGTTGAAAGAAAATGCTAGAATACAAGAGTTGAGAAAAAATATTGGCATGGAAATGCCATGTATTCCTAATCTATTTGTGATTGGCTTACCTAAATCCTTGGCGACTTCATCCAAACAAATTTCCCTAGCTGCACCTGGCTCAGGGTCATCTGGAAACTTGGAGAGGAATCTGGAGAACGGGAAAAAATGGGACCAGGTCAATCTTTGAGAAAAATATAAAACAAAAGGAAAGGAAATATGTATTAAAAACATTTCACAACTACCTATGTGGATTTGATGAAACAAACACTTCTCCTGACCTTTGACACAGCAAGCCGAGCGATTTCTCCTTCCTGCTGACCGGTTTCTCCCCCTCATCGATTTCCAAGTCGTCGTCGTCTTGGGATGACGTCTGAGACGCCACGTCCTTCTCGCTGCCTTTCCTCGGTTTCCGTGGAAACAGTTCCTTCTTCTTCATCTCCAGCTCCTGGCTCTTCATGTCGGGGCTGAGCGCGCTGAACAGCGACTGGAGGTTCGTCGTGCTCTTCATCTGCTGTTCCCGCGTACGGATATCCGGACTGATCGCGCTCATCAGTAACTTTAGGTTTGCTGTCGGAGTGAGCGGTGTTACGGGATCTTGGCTGTCGGCTGGTTTTGTCGGAGTTACTGGTACGCCGTTTTCTGACACGCTAGCTGCATCAATAGGTAGGTTGGCCAACGTTGCGAGGTTAGCTGCCTTCTTGGGGGTTGGCTTTGGCTTTTTGAATTCGGTTCCTGAGTTGGCTGTATCCTCAGTGGGTTCACATATAGTGGCTGTAGTAGTAGATGTTTCATTGTGACCTACAGTTGAACCTGAGAGAGTCCCTGATTCGTAGAAGCCTGAGTCGTCTTTCGAGTCTGATTTGTCTTGGCTGAGGTTTGTGAAGGGTAGAACGGAGCTCTGAGGTTCTGATTCAGATTCTGTGTCTGAATTTTGGATGTTCCTAAAACCCTCTGGTACGAGGGAACACTGGTATTCTTCCGCCATAACTGCTTAAAATCTGGGAAGGTAGACAAAGACAACAATTTAGAAAACATGTTGAACTGAAATCATTATCAGACATTGATGTATATTAAAGTAGAAGTGGAAAGTTGAAGATAGTCATCTTGACACACTGTACGCTTGTGAATTTGGCTAGAAAAAAGCCTGCAATCTGAGTTATCTTTTTTGGTATCTACATCGTCTTGTTGACAATATTGACAGGCAAGATAAGAAACTCCTTTGAAAATCAGTGACTAGAACGTTACACAGCAGCGCAAAGAGTCAGCCTATTGTGACGGTGACAGGACTTGCTTACAGACATGTCAGTGGGAACCCCACCTTGAAAAAATATTCACAGATTTTGTTTGTCTTGGACGTGTAAAGCTACAGGGGTACATTTCTTGTTGTTGTATGTGTACTGGAGGATGGAATATGCATGAACAGCGATAGCCGATAGAATAAACAAAACCTTGCCATGAATACATTCAAGCCAATGCTGTCTAAAAGACTCATTGGAAAAAGTGGGGACAGTGGGTCACCAAATTGGGAAAGAAATTCTTTTCTTCCTGTGTTTTGCCTTGTCTTCAGGTGTTGTCTAAAATCAAACAATTAAAACTTTAACCTGCATCTTGCTTCCATAAAATCAACACATAATCCTAGCTCAGCAGGAAGAGGGTTAACTTTGTTTGTTTTAATCTTTCCCTTTGATCACGGTCTGTGAAAAGGTGACCAGTTCACACCTGGGTAAAAAGTTCAAACTTCTAGTCCTGTGAACTGTCTAATTTGAGAAGTTGTTTCTGTCTGAGAAGAAAACTTGATGTACTTGTTTCCCATGTTCATTGGAATAGATAAAGTGATTCTATTCTTACTAACTCTAAAATGAAAAGATCTGACCCACAGAGGATTCTCAAAATCGGCAGGTTTTAATTTTAGCAAGGCCTAAACACCTTTTTGACCTCCTTAGTCATTATAGGTCAGTAAAAGACAATTTTCACCTCCTCTAACAATACACGTTCACACTTTCCCCTCCCCTATGGTTAGTGTAATAAGACTGAACAATAGCTATTGTTCCCTAGGACTATTCATACCCCAAAGTCTTGAAAGGATATCCAGACCTTACTCATGGTAATAACAGTTGACAAGACAACAATCCATGGGAAATTGTCTGATTAGTTACAATTTAGCAGTCTTTTGAATTTTTTGTGGGGTTAGAAATTATCAGAGTGCTTTGGCAAAGTCCATTTCATAACGTTAGAATTTCAGGTATTTGAAAACTCTACAAATTAATCAAATTAAAATCCTGGACGTTAGAGGAAGGATTGACAATTGTAGTTTTTTAACAGATCTGGAAATGTTGAGGAAAATATGCTAATTTTGTTGGAGAATGCAAAACTTACGAAACTGGCGGCAAAAATGGCCGTTCATCTTTGGCGCCATATTTTGGTAAGGTCAGCGGAGTGTAACACTTTAGTCTAGGTGTGACGCCAAAAAATATGCTGAAGTAAAATCCACCTAACTTCATTTAACTTGCATTTAGTGGCAAGATTATGCTACTGTAGCAAGAAAAACCTATAAATTGCTCTTGGTTTCATCTTTCTTCATGAAATAGCACTCAGTACGAGATGCAAATATTTGTTGTTTGAGCCGGGAGCCCCATGTTGTTTATTTGCACTCGCCCGAATGTAAACGATCGAAACGAACCGACGCTACGAACAGAAACGCGCTAATTTGTTGCTTTTCGTAAAATTTACCACAAAATACCGAAAACCTGAACATAAATGATGCTATAAATACATAATTCCTACGTAGGGAGTGATAATGTAGGCAAAATCAGACGATTTGGGGCGTATTTTGGCGAGACAAATTTTGGCGCGGAAATATCAGCGGTTGACCCCGCCTGATTTGCATAGATGGAGCCAAACTACAAACGGTTGCACCAGGAAAAAATTGCTTGTTTTAGACACCTCACAAAACTCTGGTGGTCTAAGCCAGCACAGAATGCTTGGGAAAAAATTATCTATGTGCTGAAATTATATCAGGATGAGCAAAATAGCTCAATCGTTCGCAGAAAATTGGAGAGTAAATTTTGGCGCACAATCGTGCGATCGGTTTCCACTCTTGGGGGATCCCCCTCATCATGGCCGCCAAGCACGCCGCCAAAACGTGAGCTAGTAGTACCCAATATCTCATAATCGTAAATGTTAAATCGGACACAGACAGTTTCTGTAGTATCTTAGAAATCTTAAAAATTGCAAAAGACGCTGCTTGAGGCTACTAACGTCCAGAAATGAGATGTTTGGGTTATGGCTTGGTGCCAAGCTCTCAGCTGGGCCTCTTTACACATAATTTTTCCAATATCTGGTTTTTGCTTCGGAAATTACTAGTACATAATAAAAGGACCCCTGCTCACGACAAATAATTACTTAATTCTTAGTTGTTCAATATAAATTGTGATGATTGCAAAATTGATATCGATATGTGACGTATGCACCAATCAGTTTGAGCTTGGGTAGGGAAACAAGTCTGGACATATCGAAGTGTCCAAGCAGAAATGATTTGGAAAATTCAACTCAAATCAATAAAAACTTCAGTATTACAATAATGGGAAACATAAAGTCCAAACTTACCAACTCCTTTCTTGCTGCATCACCAAATTGAGTCGTTTATGCACCTGATTTCGGCGGGTTGTAGTCTTGAAGTCGGGAGCCAAATCTTCCTAGGGTCAGGGTCAGGTTACGTTGGACGTTGCACTAGATCTTGCACCAAAAAACAATTTTCCACAAAAATCACTACAGACCTTTGGTCAGAATTTCATCATAAGAGCACCAGTTAGGTTTTACAATAAACCTACGATTTCTCACAGCAAAATTTGCTGAGAAAAAGTGATACTTTCAGTATGAAAGTTCGGCACACGCCCCACTGCTGTAGCTGCCTGGAAATGAATGAGGTTTTCGCGGACTATTTTGGCGCGGAATCGCTGGGACCGTTCGATTGGCCACGCCTACAGACAATATTGACCAATCAGAATCTAAGATTAGAATTCGTCATTGTCGTTTCAACCAATCAACGTTCAGCGAATGTCGGTCACGCAGGATAAGGGTCAATGGCCTATACCATTACAAAGGAGGGGTGTGTGACTAGCTCCTAGATCCTACAGAGACATGAGAGAAGGCTTTTCAATAATTTATAAAGGTTTATGGCAAACCATTGCAATTTCATTGGATAAAATAGCAATAGCAGGTGGATGAAAGACTATCCTATTCAAATCTAAGATTGCAATGAAGCTTTCAGAAGTTATCATAAAACCTCAGAAGATGTTAACAAGCTTGCCCATATTTTCCTAAAGTATAATGTATTTAAAGAAAGAGACTTGGTAGCAAAGTACGTTAAAACAAGGCTAGGAATGGCTCTTGTCCTGTGCTAATGTGTTAAGTTCCTGACTTTTCCCCAAATGGCAGCCTTACTGCTTTATATGGTAGATATCCTAAGGCATCTCCACAGAAACATTGTGTAGAAGTCAAGATTTAACAATAAGTGTGTTGGGCATGGGAATGTTAGGGATTTGTAAGATTACTTTACATGTATCACTTTTACAAAATGAATTATTATTTTCTTCCAATATATGTGCTTGATTATTAGGTGTAGAAGTATACCATCCTTTGTCTTTAGGTGATGCTGGGAAAGTTAATGTTATCCCCTTGAAGTGAATAATGAGATGCAAAGTCAAGTACTGGAAATACTGATTGTTTATACCTGAAAACTTCCACAGTCAAATACAGTAACTGTAGCTGAGTAACATGTACATATGTGAACTATCAACAAGTAGGATACAAGACATCATCGTAATCTTACACGAAACTTGTGAAAATCGTTGCAACAGGTTTCATCCTTTACAAAAAGTTGTCCAATTAAAGGCACTTTATCTACAATACGAAGTTTTAAAAAAAGTCCATTCTTCGATTGGATCTCTAATTCGACCATCAACTGCCTCTAATTTTGTAAATACATGTCTCAACTGCCTGTACTCTTATGATAGTGCTGCTATCAAGGCAGTGGGCATTATACAGGGTTGGGTACATGATTTTAAAATGGTATATATGGCATTGATAGTTACTAAAACACTAACATTACACTTACCAAAAGCATAACTATACACTGTGATTTACAAAAGCCTATATACATAATTTTACATGTATAAAAGCACACTGGACACTGCAACTTTACATTACATATACGACTTAATGGTACATTATGATATTACAGGACAAATGTTTGCCATGTGCATTTACATACATACTTCAGTAATATTAAGGGAGCATTGCTACATCAATATAACGTAACTTCTCGATTTTTTTAAATGCTTGAAAACTATTGTAAGGGGTGGAAGACACACTATTCAAATAATTGTACTACTATGAAATAAAATCAAATCAAAGTCACAAAAAGGTAATGCATACACAGCTTCAATCTTATGGAGGTTAAATGTAGGATACAATAGCACCAAAAAATGCAGTATACATGTTTGAGACTATATATATTTCTTACAACAACAGGACAAGGGTATTTTATTGGAATCTAATATCGCGTTAATTTCCTAAAAACATCAGAAAATGCTAGGACACAAATGGCACAAAGAATTTAAAAGCAAAATATTTTTTAAAAATCACTGCCATAATAAATAATACAAGTGCAACTCTTTTGGGCAAAGTGAATTGCTGATTGTAGAGGGAGGTTGTGTTAAAGCATTTTGTATACTAAAATGCTATCATCATCAAAGCTATACATAAAGAAATTACACATTACATAGTAGAGCATCAGTGGTGTAATGACATATAAAGTAAATGTGCATTTTGCTCTGTTTGATCAAAAGTTGTCATATAGGAGTTACTTGCAAAATAAAAACAGAAACTGTTGCATATTTTCAAAAGTAGCTGTTACTTTGCTGCTATTGATAATGCTACATGGTGCAATTTTGCATTAAAAGAAAACCAACTCTCATGATCCGGTCATTTTGGCTATTCTTCGTATACTAGTTGCCCAAAAGACATAAACTACAAGTTCACTCAAACATGTCAATATCAAAACTTGTTACTGCATATTGACATAAAATACGTAATCGTACGAATTTGCTAAATACTCAAGGTGTCATTCTAACTCTTTACAATGCGAGTATAAAACATAGCACCTCGTTTTGTCTGGCAACTAACATTTGGCAAAATTGTACCTTCAAATCGTAGTAAGACCTTACAAATACAACATGTACGCTACTTAACACCATGATTTGCCGAATAAGATTGCTTGCATTGGGTTGGCTTGATTCTTCTCATTAAAAGGAGACACTATGCAACACTTTATAGTAAGGGAAACATGTACATGTATCTGCGAGAAATTATAACGTTGACTCGATGGAGGAGTCCAGTAGATCGTCATGACCGTTGACCCCAGAGCTAACAGAGTTGGAGTCACTGTCGCAGCTCTGCGGACTGTAGTTCGCAGCCTCCTGTAGCCTCATTAACATATTCATCTGTAAACAGAAGAAAAATAACACATTAATCGACTACCTACATGTAGCAGAGAAACAATACGATATGGAGAATTTGAGCAATAAAATACTCACTCACTGTCCGGTTTATCGTCTGTTAATGTCAAGTTAAAAGCCTGACATGTGTTCTCAAAGTCAGTCAGAGTTACCACCTTCTCCAAGTGACATTTGCACTACATTTTGATTGAGAAGTACCATTTAAAAAGTACATAAAGCCCTTTTTTCAACAGTAAAGCCTAGAATTTAAGCTACATATACACTGTACTTGTTCTTCAGAGCTTTTATGACAACACATAATCAAGCATGACAAAGAGATGAATTTTACTACAATCCACACGTACCAAAGGGTCTCCCTCCACGTCACTCTGACTCCCCGTGATCTCCTTCTTCGTTCCCGCCTGCGGTCCGAGAGCGTAACCGTCGAACCCGACATCCTCGGCGCGGAGTCTGATGAGAGAGGAGAGGTCGCTGGTGGGCGTGGTCCAGGGGTAGTTCTCGATCACCCACAGGGCAGGGTCGTCCCAGGTACTGGCCTTCCTGCCATAGGTCTGAACAGAAACAGAGGTGTGTGTTAGCAAGTGGCATGTGTGTTAGTGTGTTACTATGCAGCATGTGTGTTTGTGTGGCAAATATGGTCCTGCTTTCAGTGCTGTACATTTTTACGAGAACAACAAGGAGTGTTACAAAGACTACCAGTCCCGGTCTTTCATAAAAAAATTTCATCAGCAGCCAACACATTATAATATTATATTATTGGTGTGTATTGTTGACAAATTCAGGAACATATACAGACCTAGCATGCTGTTCGGAACTACCTGATATCACATTGCCAAGAGAGCTATGGCTGAAGTTAACACAACCTACATTTGTAACAAGGCTGGACCTCAAGCTTGTGACTTTTTTTGGATGGCTATATTGGTAAGGATTATTTACCTGTAGCCCCTCCCTGACTGCCTCCAGTAGGTAGGGTACGATGGAGTAGTTCCACAGGTCAGTGAACCACACCTGGGAACCAGACACGTCTGTGGGACAGGACAGGAACAGGCGTGGACCTGGCAGGGAGAAAACAAAGGATGTTTAGTCCTTATAACTACAATGTACATATGTACAGTCATACACTGGTATACTGCGAGTCAGTCTAGGAGACTAGTACAAATTAATGCATGAATTATCTTGAAAGTTCATCTGTGTTGGTAGAAGTCATTATCAACAAGATTGAACTGTAACTGTCAACACAAAAAAATTGGATTCAACCAAATTTTTAACTTCAGTCTGTGTGAGTCCATTTTTACTACAGTTCAAAATTATTGCATGAAGTACATATTAGAGTTTACAATGCCCTAGGAGTTCAAAATGTGTAATAACTTGAAATACTGCCATGATACAAAATGACAAAATACTTTAAAGCTTTTAGTGATTGTCACTTTACTCCTTGTATGGGACAAAACTGCAAAGAATACTAAGTACATGTACTCAAGATACCGTAAATTAATATTACTATTAATTGGTTCTTACCAATAGTAACATCTGAAGAGCTGTGTGTCTCCAGGAACTTGTTGAGATGTTGCCAGGCCTTCGGCATCCACTCCACCACCTTGGTGAGTTCTGGGTTTCTCGCGCTGCTCTTTATCTCGCTCTCGACAAGCTTTCGGCGCAAGTAGCGGCCCAGGAAACCCTTGACTGGCTCCATGTGGTTCGCACAAAGGATCCATCTGGAAGATGTCACAATAAAAGGTCATTTTCAAATTTTCGGTGAACATTAGACATCCAGGTAATAAGATATGCCAAAAAACAGTTACTCATCAAGCAACTGGACATAATGTTGGAAATGGTCAGATGTTTCAGGTAGCATCCACTCGACTACCTTTCAGTGACACTGTCACAGTGAGACACTAGCGTCATTAGCGTCAAAGACAGTACATTGAGGGATAAGATTATGCTTGGTACAAGCTTAACTTGAATTTCACATTTGAATCTTTCTTCTAAACAGTACACTTTCATCCATCTACATCACAGAAACATGACTTAAAACATCACAGATTCATGGCATACTAGAGTTAAAGCTGTATGTCTGTACCTGAAGTTGTGATGCAGCTGTAGGTTTGTGGAGGAACAGTTGGCCTGGTTCATTGTGCCAATGATGTAGGGACTGTAAAAGAAAGATACACCAACACTTAAAAACATTTCTTTTTTTTGGCAAAATCATTTCAACACTGTAAACAATAAATGCAATGGTATCTAACATGTCAAGTCTAATGTGGAACTGTTCTAACCAATTCAACTCGGAGTTGAAAATACTGCAGCAATGAATTTAAACTTTTTCCTAACCTTTTTAACAACTATGAATTTGTTGCCAAAAGGCTGCAGAGAGTTGGGAGAAGGTTAACCAACAGCAGCCATCATTCACTTTTCATGAGATTTTTCTTCTTCAGAGAAACACACCGGTACTTAAGTTTCTTCCATGAGAGAAGCTGCCATAATTTCAAAGCTCACCTCTTCACACTTCTGCATCCCAAGAAGCCATTGAAGACCTCTCCCAAGGACCCGACATTGTGAAGGTTGTCCAACACAATGGCCAGGGGTGCCTGCATTTTCCCACTCTCACACTGGTCCGCCATGTTACACAGGTACTGTCGCAACTCCTGCAGGGGTCAGCAAAGAACAACATTGTGGAAAACTATCCAGAAAGACATCATAAACAGGAATAAATCAGCCTTTTAGTCAAGGAAAAGAATTCTAAGTTTTTAAAGATGCACAACAGGAGATCAAATGTGAATATTGTTAAGTTGCTAATTATGGGCTTGTGGTTAGAAAGCTCACGTGATGGACTAAAAGTAGTAATTTTATGCTGATACACTCATTTTCGCTGTGTTACATAGAGCTAATTACATGGTTAGCCAAAGCAGTGTCTTAAGGTTGGATGAGATGAAAGGACTTTGGTTTGGATTCAAAAGCTTTTATTTTAAGTACCCAACCCAAACTCTGCTGCTGAAGCCAAGTAGCAATTTCCAACTATATTTGCCTATACCACAGATTTATAAAAGCCATCTAAGCACATTATATATAGGAGAAGCATTTCTCCAGTTAAAATTGAAGCAGTAGTATGCTGTTCAGGGCTCTCCCTACCAGTAACTAAGTAATAGTGGTGTCATCTTGTTATGATCTAAGAAAGACAGTGTCCATGTTCGGAATTAGGTTACTAGCAAGTTATCCTTCAATATGTTTTTAGCCTGTTTTTACCCTGGATGTGGACCTATGGCACCACCTTGCTCTAAATTTCTGGGGAAAGCCCTGCTTATTAATGGTTATGGGCCAAGCCATTGTGCAAGTAGGGGTGTCACGTGAGCTTCCCTCCACTACACCCACCTGAGAGGTGGCTACTCTATGGCTATGTGCACACTCCTGCTGAGGGGGGAACCAGGGAAGAGAAGAGAGACAAAAAGAGAAGAATGTTAACACCAAGTGCCACCATTTCTTCATCTAAGAAGGTATTGCTCAGGGGATGTTTAGTGCATGCCTTGATTAAGATTCGATTTGAAGTTTTGGAATATTTGTCATGGAGGAAGAAACGAGCATTCTACATGTAAGCATCTGGCTTAGTTTTCTTCTTTAGTTCATTGATTAAAAACACCTGTCCAGGCTTAAAAACTGACATAGCCAACATTGCGTTGCAGGTGCATTTATCACATAAAATAGACCAAAAGAGCAGATGCAGCTAGAAAGAAGACTTTCAAGCAGTGGAAATTACAAAGTTGAACACTTTTGACGTATCACGATTTAAAACACCTTGCAGTGAGCTGTAACATCTACTGGCAAGATAGCAACATGTAGTAATGTTTTAGAATTTAGATACTAGGTTAAATGTGGTCTAAAATATTGAGGACATTAGGTCTTTACGTTATGCACTCGCTAGTCACCAAAAAAGTGCACAAAATTTACCCTTCCTCTCTCGTCAGAGTCCTGCAGTTGTCATTAAAAAAACAAACAAACAAACAAGTACACTTCAGTACCTTGTCTTGCATTCAATTTTGATGGGTTGACTTCATAACAAATGTTTTCCAAGCTCCACACTTAGTAAGAATCAACCATGCACATTTTTTACTTCTTACAAAAAAAAAAGTTTTTCGCTACTAACCTTGCAGGACTTGTGGTCCACGTTGAACACCACCACCGTGCTGTCAGTGACCTCTTCCCCTGACCTCTGAACCATGAACTCTGCGAGTTTCTGGGCCAGGAAGGTCTTGCCCGTCCCGCTGGGGCCACACATGATGACTCGCTTCTGCTCCGCAAGCAGGTTGATGTATCTCTGCAGGACGGCCTTCGGGATAAGAGACTCAAACGCAAACGTGTCGCTGCTGTTCTCCTTGATGTCTGTGAAGAGTGGAAAGAAAAACTGGTTAGAGTAACATGTTAGTACATAATTACCTTCGCCAAGAAGGTTATGTTTTCAGGGGCGTTCGTGTATGTGTGTGTGTGTGTGTGTGTGTGTCTGTCTGTCTGTCTGTCTGTAAACACGATAACTTGAGAAGGCCTTGATGGATTGTCTTCATACTTGGTAGGTGGGTAGGTCTTGATGAGACCTCAAAATGATTAGATTTCGGACCCCCTAGCGGCTTGTCATGGTACTGCAGCTGAACTTCCGGTTTTGATATCTCATGATCTAGACATGCTATGGTGATGAAATTTAGATGGTAGGTAGCTCTTGTGCTGGGAAAGAAGTGACGTGAGTTTAGGCCCCCTAGCGGCTTGCTCTGGAACTGCAGGGATAAATTCTTGAAAATATTAAAAAGGGGATAACTCAAGAACCAGTTGACGGATCGTCGTGATTTTTGGTATGTAGGTAGCTTACGTGATGCTTAATATAATTATGTGACAATTATGCAAATATGGATGTAATTTGCATAATTTATGGGGAAATTCTATAAATCAGCTGCATTCCATGATAGGACAATTGAAGCTTGTGACATTGGTAATTGACAACGAGAGAAACACAGGAAGTTTTTGATTATGTTAATAATGACTTAATTTGCATAATTAATGAGAAAATTTTATAATTATGTAATGAGAACTGCCTGGAATTTCATACTTGTGGTATTTGAAAGTTAAATTGAGGTGAACATCATTAAACATAATTTATTTAAATCAGGGCCTCATTTGCATAATTTATTAGGAAATGCTAGAATGCATTCTTTGTTAATATAAGACTGTCTTTTGGTTGAGATTATGATAAAATGATATAATTCATGAAAATTAGGTTCCTATTTCTTAAATCAGGGGGGAATAATCTAATCTAAACTTTGTCAGTCATAAAGATTAACATCATTTGGCGAAGGTATGAGATCAGGGAACTCTAGTTCCCTTTGTATTTTTGTGACGAGTTTGCTTAGTGCAATGCCACATGGACCACTTCTGGGGACTGAACTAATGCTCATTGAAGCAGCATCTCTTCTCCCTAAGTCAGAAACATCAAGCTTAGGCAAGCTTGACCAACTTACATTGAAAGATTTGCATTTGTGATGTACTTGAATCATTTATATGCATTTAGAAGATGTCCTACCTTTGAGATGGATGGCAATGGAGTTGTTGTCTCCCACCAGATAACCACATGGCAGGAGCTCTGGCAGTTCACTCTCTGTAAACAACAGTTTGTTAGTTTTTCTGCAAGCTGAAAAGGTCTGAGACACACAACAGTATCGCCTGCATTCCCAGCACAACTGTTTTACTATTTTAACATCAACTGAGGAATATTTAAAGGCTTAAATCATAACATACAGAATACCGAACTGGGGTGAACTTGGCTAACATAATCATAAATGGAAACTGCAATTTATTATCGAACAGAATAGTGGTGCTTTTACAAATGGCACTGACTTACCTTTAGACCTGATGATCTCCCCTATTGTGTAGTTACGGATGCTCTCAGAAGTCAGGCCGAGATTAGACACTGGATCTATTCTCAACAGATATTCCTGTGAAATGGACATTTGGAAAAGATTGAATTAATTTCTATATACATTAGTACCCTGTACTTTCCAGTACCTTTATAAAGTTTTTTTTTGCGTCAAATAATTCTTTTAATTTTAAAAATTCATGGAACATTTGTCTCAACACATAAACCTTTTTTTTTGTAAACCTTTTTTATGAGTATTATTCTAATCCATGTTTGAGGAAACCCAAACTCTTTTCCAAAGAGTATCAGTGCAATAAAAATCTTACTCCTCAGAAAAAGGGAAATATTCTTAAAATCTATAAAAACATTTCTTTCCACCTACCTTGAAGAGTCTGTGCACGACATTGTCCAGCATGTCCCACTTGGTCTTCCCACTCACACTCAGGGCACCGATGATGATCTGCTGAGCCTTTCCTCCCTACAGAGATAGGAAAAAAATTATATCAGCAACGATAAAAAATAACAAAACTACACATCCTCCTGGATTTTTATAATATTGAAGACTTGATTCAATGTTTTATGAGTATTGCTGGACCTGAATTGTTTCTTGGTTATCATCATAACTTCTGTAAGGTATGATGAGAATAACAAATTGTTCTAATGCTGTCCTTTTTCTCTTCACATAAAGAAACATTTCTAATTCCTTTTTTATGTTGGCAGACTGGTCAGAGAGAGACTGATGAGTCCATGATTTCTACAATATTTGCACAAAGGTGTCCAGTGTACCTTGAAGATAGCACTATGTATGTGCAACTCAAAACTGTCACTTCAAAAAGGTGACCCGATGTATTCTGAAGTGAAACTATAGTTTGCACTTCATTTGCTATGTGACTATAATGCTACATCTGTGATTCTAAAGCTGTGAATGATGTTGTTATTTGTGCTTTGTGCAGAAACCTGTCAATGTGGTATCATTATGTTAAAAATAATGTGAAATTAAAATTAAGGTGAAATTAACATGTCCTAGTACTAGGTGCAAGGTGTGAAAATATGGCTCAGAGCAGGAATACATTATTTCATGTCTACTTGTACAATAAGCTTTTGAGAGCATTGAAATTTGTAAGCATATATTTTTTCTATGAAATTATTTGCAGTAAAGTTGGTCAAAAGCAATGTTAAGAAAGTCATAAATATGATTCTTAGGGTTGTACATGAAATAACATGATCTACTCTTTGCCATGAAATTAAAATGGAAATCATAAGAATACCTTATTATGTCTGAGTGTTTGCCTGTGTCTCTGGATACCGTAATACTACGGGCAACATTGTAGGAATCAAACCGTCAATAACACAGCAAAAACACAAAAACAACACATGGCAAAACGTGAAATGAATGAAACACACAGTGACAAGGTGTTAGAGAGCTAAAACCTTACACCACACCCTGAAAACAACTTCACCAAACAGAATTATAAACCGGCAACATAAACAGATAAAGAAAACACACTGCAACTTAAAACCAAACATCGATGCATTTTACATATACTTTTTCTCAATCGCTTTTTGTTTCTTGTAAGGTCACTTGTACATCTTCTTGAACTCACCTCTGATTTTTCAGGGGCTCCGATGGTGGGAAGAGCGACTGTGACAATGACTTTCCGACCAGATTCTCCTGATCCAACATCTAGCAAAAGATCTACAGAGGAGATGAAACAAGACCAATCAGCATGCGCAGAACAAGTATGTTCACAGCTGATATGTTACAAAAAATGTGATTGGTTAGCTCATGGAGTTCCTTCTAACTCCAAAGTTAGATCTGCAGAGATGGGACAAGACCAATTAGCTAGTGCAGAACAAGTATGTTCACAGCTGGTATGTTACAAGAAATGTGATTGGATACTGTACAATGTACATAACAGCTCACTCTGTTCAAGCAATACATATAACGTTACTAGTAGCACAATTAAGAAGAAAAACAACCAGGCCAATACTCACCCAAGCTACTGGAAGTTGGATCGAGATTCAGTGTTGGATCTGAAAAGAAAAGAAAAACACTCAATTGTTTATCACTACCTACATTGTATTTTGCAGCTGCAGTTCTAAAGCCTGCTGGTAGATGGCATTACTATGTTACTGTCTAACCACAACACATCTTTGTTACATTTCCATAAATGTTCTACAGTTTACTAGTTAGAATGATGTTAAAACTGAATTAGTCTGACAATAGCCCATATAAAGAGATTTGACAACTCTTTGCTTCACTGTGCAATAATGTACAATAATATGGAGTCACTTTTGCTGAATAAAACTTGAAACACAAGGAAGTTGTGGTACAATCCTAGTCCCAAGGACCAAGGAGGTTTAAAATATTGAGGACTCACCACTGAAGTGTTGGGAGGAAGTGGACATGTCAGAACACGAACTTCTGGTCAAAACCTGCTGCTGGAGTCTGTCGTTCTCCGCACGTAACGCGTTCATTTCACCCTAAAGTGTCAATCAAATCGTCATGTGAACAATAGTGCTGATTAAAACACTTGCTTAAGCTACATGCCTTCAAAACAAGGTTTCTTATATGGCTTTCTCTTACATGAAGAACTTTGAATCACAGTTGACTGTCAACAAAATGTGGCATACAGACAGGATCATATGCAGACGTGCAGTTCGCAACACATCAGATAGGAGGCACAAATGTACAATCAAGACAAGGTGAGGGCACAAGGATCACTTGGAATGATCAAGAAGGTTGATACAACACAGGAAGCATTCAACAAACACTTAAACTTACAAGTTATACAATAACCAACATTAATTTATCTACAAACAACAACAAATCAATCAATCAATCAATCAATGTATCAATCAGCTTAGATGAAAACTGGTGGTGAAGGGAGGTTGGCAACAAGAGGAGCAAAGCATCATCAAAGGAAAGAACAAGCACAAGAGTGAAACCTTGCCCTCCTCCATCAAGGACAAATAATGGACAGGCCCACACTCCTGGTTGCTAGGCAACAAGGTTCCGGTGTTCCAGGAAGAACCAGAATGCTTCCAAGAATTCACCATGTTTAAACATTACAGGTATTTAGGGGGTCTTTTACCTGCAATTACCAACATGCATGCCATTTTAACTTTGAGATTTTACAAAGGTTTTTGATGCATTACCATTAGTGTGCTGATTTCAAGCTGTACGATTTGCATAGGCCTTGGTTGATGTTAGATTTTGATATAGAATTATACAGGAGACTGGGCAATTGCAAGAAATAGGTAAAGACTACTGTCAGCATTTTGGAATTGAATCATAGAACAAGCATAATCTATGACAGAAATAAGATTTAGTAGATGGGGACAGGCTAAGGACTGACTTGAGTGGGGATGTAATGGTTTTGGTACAGGGGAAGGATTTGTTGTTAAGATTTCCGGAAAGAAAGGGTACACATGGATGGTAGCCACAGAACACACACAAGGTCACAGCAAAGTTTCCAAAGCTTTTTTAAAAAGTGTGAGATTTTATTGAATTTTAATCCCTGAATAGATGAATTTGAAATGGCAGGAAAACTGTAGAATTCACAGGATTCTGGTGACTTCTTGGGATACAGGAGCTTGATGCGGTAGAAGGCAGGTCAGTCCATTACAAGTCTACGATAGGGGGAGAACAAACCTTCATTTTGTTCATGGTCTCCTTTAGTTGGTCCAGTTGGTGTGCAGAGGACAGGGCCTCCAGGCGGATGTCAGTCAGTTTCATGTCCTTCTCCCGCAGCTGGCTCTTCAGAACATCTACAGACTCCTCATCACCATCGTAGATCCTGAAATACGAGATATATTTTAGATACAACTTCCAACCTGTACTAGAACTACCAATGGATTGTGTATCTTATATACACTGGTACATTATACACAGGTACAATACAAATATCCTGGAATAAGAACAGATGAAAATGAACCATTGTCAAGAGTAGATTTTGCACACATATACCATATTTTGAAATGTCTGTGCTGCAATAGCCTTGCTTACTGAATGATATGGTCCTAAGATCTAAGATCTGGGACTAAAAATTGATCTTAGTCCTCTGGCAAATGCTCAACAATAGTTAGCTTTCTTATTTGGTGTTCAAACTAATACACTGAAACATGAAAACAACAACAACAACAACAACATGAGAGAACATTTATGGGAACAAAACATCCCCAATTATCTACACACTGTTGGCTAGACATGGCTACCACATGCTTGTTGGTAAGATGGTGACTAATGTAACAACTAGAATTAATGATGGCTGATGTCTTGGTTAGAAGTTGTGAAATCATGCTGTTGGGAGATGTTCTGTATCTAGTAAGTACACGTTTTGATTGGCTGTCTGCTATACATTCCCTAGGCTACTGTGGGGAGGGACTAAGGGGCATGCAGATTGGTCAATTTGAAGAGTACGACTGTGAAAATGTCAATGTCAGTCTCACAACTCAGCTGTACTTCAACCAAGGGCAGATGGGGAGGGGGGTATGGATTACATGTAGTATGCAAGGAAAGGGTAATCTCCAAGCAGATCTTTCATGCCAAAGTTGTAACCAAATGGCAACAAGACAGCATCCAAATAGGAAATGCCTATTGGATACTCAACAGCCTATTGGATACTGTCTTCCCAGTTGGGTACGGCTTTACCACTTAAAGATCTGCTTTGAGACTAGGGAAAGGGTAGCTGAAGTGATGGATGATCGATTTGGTATGAAGGGGGGGGGGAGGAAGGGGTGCAAGGATTTGCCATGTTACGATGCAATTACAGATGAACACAGCTGATCTCTGAGACTGCTAAACTTCTACGACAGAAGTTGGGACGTCACATGCTGGACAGAATTGTTTTAGGAAGAGGCCAGAGGGTTGTACAGTTGTTTTTCTTGGTCACGGGACTTACGCCGGCGAGGAAAAGACTTTGACCATGGGGTTGATGTGTATGGAGGTTGAGGAGATGGCCTTGCCTAGGCTGCCGGGGAGGCTGGTAACATTGTGCATAAATGACACATATTTATCAGACGGATGCAAAAATGCAATATCGAGTAACGGTGGTAGACAACCATAATGAGACTAACATCTCACAAGACTTGTGCCGTCATGCACAAAATGTCATGCCATGAAATGTACATTCATCTTGTAACAAAACATATGGACAAAAATGCTGGTGACATTTCAAATGCATTTAGACAATAATTCACTGTCACATGCTGGACAAGGATGGGTGGAGAACAGAAAACAAGATGAGACAAAAACATATGACCAAAAACATGACGACAACTGTTCATGAAGCTTAACATTTAAGCTTTCCTCAATACATGTATATATACATGCATCATAAGGCCACAAAATACAAATGTAAGACTTCCACCTGGTGACAAATTTGTGCAATTTCTGGAGACAAGTGTAGCTAAAAGAGATTGATGTACTCACGCAGAAGTGGATGAAGATCCCTTCATGGGATTCATCCCCATCGATGAGTTGAGGGACGATAGCGAAGCGCGGGGAGATCCGGGAATGGATTCTGGCGTCGTGAGCGAATCCTCCACATCAGACTGGGACTGCATGCGATTCTTCTTCCGCGAGAAGGCTTTGAAGGAGCTTCGTAACTGGGGGATGGGAGATTAGAGTTAGAGGGAGGCACGACATGAAATACTGGCACTTTCCTGTGGCTTGTTCATAACACTGCAACACCACAGCACAAACTGTTCACTTGGGGCCATATTCTTGTCTGTTAAACTAATTTTAAGAGGGACATTGGCAGATGAATCATAGAAATGTACCAGGCATAACAAGTTAATATAAAACCAACCATTTTAGGCAGGCATGTTCAGCAAAGTAAGATACATGTACTCATGACCTTACAATTAATGCAGGGGAGAAACTGGTTATTTCTACATTTCTTGGTTCGCAACTTAGACTCACCCACATTAATATTGTTGCAAGTTTTATTCTTCTATAGGAATTGTTAAAATTTAAAAGCTTTGAAAATATGTATTTTGGGAAAACTCTGCCTAGTGTTATTTTCCAATGTACCAACCCCACTGAGTCTTCCTAGATCCTCCTGTAGACATACACACAGAACAACACAAACAGGTTCAACAAAGATGTCACGAATATGCAGATGACCAAACTTGTGTCACGAACATGCAAAACGCACCTGCACACTGAAGCAATACATAACTTAAGCAGTAACGTCTTTATTTTTCCTTAGCAGCAAAACTTACATAAGAAGCACTTTAAGCAAAAAAAGTAGCACATCCCCAATGGTAAAATGTAGTGGTCCATTTTGCGATCGTTTCTTTTAGCTTCAGGACCGGAACACTTTACAGAAGGGATGTAAAGCCTACATGCTACAAAAAGCACCACACCAAACAGGTATTTACAATTACCCAGCTCTTCTTTTTCTTCTTTCTTCCACCTGGTTCGGATTCGGCGCCGCTCCCAGCACTTGACACACTCGTGACGCTGTTCATACTAGAAACACTGTCAGTTGATGGCAGTCTGGTCATCCGAAGATCTGGAAACACATTATTAAGCATAAGACAAAAGTCCGTACACACATGTACAATGTAGGCCTGTTTAACTACAAGATAATCGGTCTACAATGTAAATTATAGTAGTAACGCAAGGTTACCAGTTTACGTGCAGGACCAGTTTACGGTCAGTTAGTGACACGGCCACGCTTCGAGGTGTACCAGCCAAAAATCAACGGTCGTGAGCAACAAAGAATAACATGAATATGATCCTTATATGTGTCTTTATTTATTCACTGGATGGGAATAAGTTTGCATTCAGCGACACAGCAGAGTATCTTCCGATATGACGGGACAGCAAGGTAACATGGCCTTGGACGCATGTTGTGTTTTTCACATAATACAATACTCAACATTTCGTCGATTTTTAAAAATCCCAAGAATGCTAGGAAATTGTAACGATAGCTGGCATCAAACCTGGCTTTCTTATTTCAATCATCCATGGTGTTGTGAGGTATGAAACTTTCAAACACCTTGAAATAAACAAGCAAAAGTACAGTGGCAGTTCTCGCCGACTAGCGTTTTTTCGAACGCCATTTTGATCATCATCATCGTTGCATCAGGTGACGTCACGGTTTTAAACTGCAGAAAGGTACGTAAAAGTCGCACTGTGGCGCTGTTGCACATTAATTTATGCAAAAATGCCAAAATGGCTTCCTGCGTCCGTAGCGAAAAGTTTGCTCGGGTTTTCACGACGTTCCGCTGTGTCTGGAGGGGCATAGACGCTTGTTATCTATTGCAACGGTTTAATGGAACATCTTGGGCCATTATGTCACGTTCTACTAAGGGAAAAATGCAGGTCCAGCCTCATTTAGCACCACAGCGCTACTGCATGCGACAGTGGGCTACACACTGACATTTTACCGTGGTTTGTTGTTGACCACTTCGGTATTTTTTTGCAGAAAGTGTTTGTTTATGTGCGCTTATACGTAGAGCATACAAGGACAAAGGTCCAAGTGACCGTTAATTGGTCACCCTAGAGCAATTCTCCACTGTTAACTACTAAATAAATAAAAGCTGGCACGGCACAAAAAACGCAGGGAAGAAATGACACGGCACACACTTTTATAACCGACGAACTACTGTTTCTTCACAAGGGTTAAATATTTAGTTCTGCCCATGCGTTTTCACAAAAAATGGAATTTTCCATAATTCGACCGTAAACTGGTAACCTTGCGTTACATTGTACCTCCAAAAAAGTCTTACTTAAAATATATTTAGGAAATTTATACCAAACATTTCAGTTTGTTATTCATCAATTATTCAAAGATTACAGTTCTGTTACAGGAAAAGCAGTTGGGGGAATCAAAAAGCAAAAAGAAAATTTAAAAAAAAATCATACAAACTGATTAAGAAAGTTCTAGGCAGTCATAGCTGCCCGTTGTATGAAAAACTGTGCCTAACTATTGACTTGGGCCGCGTAGTAGATCAAGTGATATTCTGCCAGACTGCTACTACTTGCACTATACATACTGACTACACTTTCACAAATGCACTTTTTAGGCATAGTATATCCCACAGAAGCAACTCAAAGAGCAGATCAAGAAAAGGCAAGAAATGTGAAAGCACAAAAGGAGAGTCTACATCTATGATTTGTTCTGAAGCATTGTGAATATATGACAAAACCATGCAAAAGCATTTCACTTAGTAATAGCATACAAAAACTAACAAACTGCAATGTTGGCTAAGTCCTAGTTGCAAATCATGGCACTCGCAGTCAGATATCACTTGATATACTCTTTGGCCCAAGTCATTTTTCCTCAGTCGACTTACTTGGCCCGTGCAACCCATCCCCAAATGTTCGCCAGGGGTGACCTTCGAACGAAAAATGAAAATGAAATAAATGGGAACCACTTCTTAAAATCAAGGCAAAAATGTGGGTAACATATTATAGAAACTTTAGAACAAGGTAGGTTAAACAATTATGGTAAACTTAATGGTTGAAAATAAGTTTCCAAATTTATTCTAATGAAAAATGTGAAAACATTGGTGAGAGCAAAATGGTAAAGTAGAAGGTATGAGAAAAGGGGAAGGGCTTAGGTATGGTGACTGGCAGTAGTATGCTGAGTTGTAAGAGTTTTTTTATGACATTACAGCTTTCAATGGTAACTCCAACTTTCTTCAGCTACTAGCAGCTCCTGTTTTGTGGAATGCATGGAACTTTCTATTCCATGGCTGTTTTAGAATAAAATGCATGGAACTTTCTATTCCATATCTGTATTAGAATAGAATGCATGGAACTTTCTATTCCATGGCTATGTGAACCACACTTTTTGTGCTGTACGTACCAGGTGAGGTGTTGGACAGCTGCTGTTGACTCTGCTGTTTCAGCTGTTCAATAGTTCTTCTAAGCTCCATCAACTCTGCATCCTGAAGAACAGGGAAGGAAAGCAACATCCATGAAACTGAAAAAAGGTAGCCTAGTAGAAATTCTCAGAGCAAAACCTGTGCAGCATGATACAATTTGTAAGATTTTCATGTTTCAGTGCTCTCCGAATAGCCATCTGAAACCAAGCCAAGAACATTTAAGCTTCAATCTGCCCACATCCATTTGGTAGACCCAAGGTTAACCGTTACATCTTGGCAAATTTCTCTCCTGATCTCTAATAAGCAAGGGTTACATACCAACCAGTGATACTGATAACACAGGTCCAAAGTCAAGGCCTCGGGACCCACCCAGAAGATAGCTCTAAATTTGTTCCAGTCTTTTGGGCATCGAAGGTCGCCGTTCTAATATTCTAGGGCCAGGGAGCGCATGAGCTACAAATAGCGAAATATTTTCCCACAGCTCCGAATCATCCATCAATCAATCAAACTTAAGTGTTTGTGTCAAAATGAAATGTAAAAACAGTTATTTGTAGCAGACAGATTGACATGGGTTGTACCATTTGAAAACGGGGAAGGGGAGGTATGGAAAAGCTCTCTTCTGTTGTTTCAGGTTAATACATGTACCTCCATAATAATAATATGAAGATTTTTTTACCTCCTTCTTTAAAATTTGGAGGAAATGTATCTGAAACAAAGCTTGAATTAAAGTACATGTAGTGACTCCCCCCCTCCCCTGAGGTTACCTATGACCAAGTCCAATCTCAAGAATTAGGGAAAGAATTTATCATAGTATCAAAAATATTCCTAGGTAAATGCTTGGCAGCTATCGTAACAGCCAAAGGTTGGATTCTAGTCATAGGTCACGATTTCTATTTTGTGGCAAACATGGTGCCTTATCCCCATGACGACCTGATATTGGATTTCTCCATTGCTGTCAGAAGGACCTGTCAATCACTTACAAATGTACGTCTTTCCACTAACAGGGAGGGAGGGAGGGAGGAGGGAGGGGTGTTTCATCATTTACTGATTCAAAATTTTCTGACTACTGGGTGGCCCCTTCCACCTTAGCTTTAAACAATGCCTGCAGTTAGATGTGCAGAGGGATTAACAGGTCATTGGGTGTAATATAGCCAGCTGCTGCTGCATTGCATGCCTGCAAAGCTAGCATGTTAGTTGCTACACCAAAGGGCAGTTATACCGGCAATACAGATACAGATATCTTGAAGTTTTCAATAGAAAATTCTTGTAAGAATGATTCAAATATTTCAGAACAGTGTGTTGATGGATTTGTACAAATGCATTCCTTGGCAAGAATATTTACTACCTTGTTTCAAGCCTACAGTGCATCCAGCGAACATGATTTATGAGTACTGATATCTAAGTTTCTAACTAACATAAGGCCACAGCAAGTAAATCTTATGGATGACATCCTCCCCAGATTCCAAATCTAATGCGAGCGGGCGAAAAAAAAACAAGGAGGGCCGAAAAAAACAAGTTTCCTACAATTCAAAATTTTGACTCAGTCATTGTACAAATGGTTTTGATTCAGTAGGAACATCACATATACACAGCAAACATTGCATATCACTGCATCAAAGTAAGAAACAAAACATTAAATCAGAGCCTTTTTTGTCTCCTCTCTTAATAGTCATCTGCCATCCACCTTGCCCAGACATTTTCGGCATGTGGACCACAGTCAGAAGGCAACAAAAATTCTTGTTTTTTTCCCCAAAATCAGGCGAAAATTAATGCGCGCGCTAATGTCATCCATAAAAATTACTTGCTGTGGCCTAATTGTGAATTATGAGTCTCTAGATGTTGGAGAGAAGTCAGAAAACATTTGGGATATTACAACTCGGGAAGAGCCAATGAGTGCCAAAAACATCAGCCCATTTTAGTGGCCACATCTATCATAAGATGTAGGGCAACAGAACTTTAATGACAGGAGCTGGATTTAGAGCCGTCCATGTTTGGTGAGAGCCTTCCTGTTAGGGGACACTAACACAGTAATCTTTTGAACCTTCAGGCCATAGAAATTAAATTTCTCACTCAGGGGGCCAAAAAATTATGAAAACATAATCTTCTTCCATACTTTTATAAGGAACCTGGCATACTTTGTAAAGTTTAATGACCTAACTTGATTATTATAAATCAGTCTATCACAGAATATGCCTAGATAATACTTTATGCATATCAGTAGTCTATACAATATCTTTCTTGTAATCTTTTGGACCTTTAGGCCATAGAAATTTACTAGTAATTTCTCGCTCAGGGGGCAAAAAAATTATGAAAACATATTCTTATTCCATAATTTTATTACAAATTTGGCTCAGTAAGTCTATCATTCTATCAGCGTATGCCACGATAACACTTCTACTGGTATATCTCCTTCATGCATATCAGTAGTCTGTGCGATATCTTTCTTGTATCTTTGTTTCCGTACCTTTTGTTCAGCTGTTACAGTCAGTCCCTTCAGTCGCTCTGTCATGTTGGACAGACTCTGCTCGAAGGCCGCCACGACGTGAGCCTGCAGAAATACACGGAAAAAACATTGTCAGACCAATATGTCAATCAAAATCAATACCATCTCACTGGACAGTCATTTGACCAGTCCTATGGGGTATACGTTTCAAAAATGTCACATTTCTGGGATGGCAAGTTAATTCGAAAAAGGAGTTATCATGACATGAATTCTTTTTTTTCTCTATCTCACCCAACATTAAACAAAGCTCCACTTCAAAAAATTAATTCTTTATTAGGATAAAAATGCCAATATGAGCTACTGACTCTACACCAAAGCTTCAGTGTGATGCTAAATATGTAATGATGTTCCAAAATATATAAGCTATAAAGATACTGGGATATTTCAAGTTTTTCTTTCCAAATAGTTTCCAGCTCATATTTCTTCTCCCCTTACATGTTATGCCAAAACAAAGCTGGGTTGTACCATCCTGTTTATCTTGCATGTCTTTCCTTACCACAACATTAATTTTTGTTCTCTAAACACGTTCCTGTTGTTGCATGTACATGTACATCCATATTTTTTGGCTGGAATAAAATAATAAATTCCAAATCCGACCATCTCTGCATAAGGAAGCCCTCATAACTATCCCTTAAGGGGATTCTACCAGTCATCTTCAAAACTCAGGGGAAGGCGGTAGACAGTTCTCTTGAATGTTAAGTAGTTTCACAGCCAATTTGTGCTCCAACAAAAAATGCAAATGACGACCCACATACGTTTTGTGAATACAGAATATTTCCCAAGAAATAAGGGCAAGTTTTAGCTATCCTAAGATACCGGATATTCCCAGCACAAGGCAAACTGTTTATAAATACTGTAGAGCTAATTGTGCATGAACTGATTGAAGAGATAAACATCCCACAACTACTGCCATATCCTATTTTAGGTATGCTCTAGAAAGCTGACAGTGTGTGTTGAACGTCTTCATCAAAACAAGCTCTATCTTTAACATTATTAAAATTGGCATTTTCTGTATTACAGAAATATACAGAAGCAACAGATGAAAACCATACGTAAAATACATGGCTTCACAGCAAAACTAACTACATCTTTCAAACCAATTTCAAAGCTGCACCATATCACACATCCAATCTAAACACAAGTCTCACACTCAGACCTATTCCATATTGCAACGCAAATAAACGTCATCATTCAACCATGCAGAAGGCAAACACAGCGAGACTTGCTAATGGTATAGACTCAGCCTGCGGCTTGTGGAAAAAAGGAGCTCCCTAAAGAAAAAGGAGCTATGATACGCAAGAAAGAACCATTAGTATTACATAGATACAGGCTTGGTGACTAGATGGTAGAGATCAGTTTGAACGCTTTGTATACTCTGGCAAATCAAGACATAATGCTATTTACCACAATGATAATGTTACTAGCTGCAAATATACAATGTACAAAGGCTCTCTACAAAGGCTCAAAGGCTAAGGAAAGAAAAGCAACCTTAGCATCTTCAAGATGTCTTCTTCCCTCACAATCTGCCTGCGGCCAACTCTCGGCCTTCTCGCCGCGAGTAGCCATCTTTCCAGACAACGTTAACGTCAGGGCCCCTCAACCCCCACCAACCGCCTACCTGACTCATCGGCAAACTGACGCCTGGCAAAGTGCCAACAACCTGCAAGTTCAGCCTGCTACTACCTCCACAATCGATACATTTAATATACACTGCGGCAAAAATGCAGACAAGCACTCAAAGTATTGACTTCCGAAGCCCTTTAATTTTGCAATTGTCCCGGATTAGCATGATAAATGGTGGGACATTGCTCACGTAAATTGAACCAATACCCCACAACAGTGTTTAAACTTATCCCAGATACATGTAGTACACTGTGAACGTGCTGTGCTGTAATACCTTAGCATCCTCCAGTAGATCCTCTTCCTCGTTAAAATCAGTTAGGGGCCAGCTTTCCGCCTTTATCCTTCGCTCCTCCATCGTAGGATGTAGCCAACACCCCGTTGTACGCTACGCACTCTTCTGTGGGTTAACCAACACTACTGATGAGGCTTCAGAGACAAGACGCAATGCCTTTCCTTTCTGGTTGGCTTCTGCTTCTAAGCTGCTTCCAAGGACACCCCTCCACTATCTCCACAAATAATGAGAGCCTACAGGGAGATAGGAAGGCCCAGGAAAGGTAACCTGGCATCCCAAGAATGAGGGCTTTCCAAAGCAAAAGCACCCGACAGAGATAAAAACCACACACTCCGCTGCAAATGTCACAAAGAACTGTAAGCGGAGAAGCCCCAGAAAACTGGACTTCGAACAAGGCAGTTAAAGTGTGTGAAGTCTTTTAGAAGATGATAAGGCGAGGAGACAAGAATTTAAAGTACAGAGGCCTGTAGTTTAGTGATTGGCGACAGGGGAAGCTATCAGTGATAGAGGGTGTTACAAGCACAAATATGAACAAGAGGGCCTTTAAAGGGAAGGACCAAAATTAAAGGCAGCTAAGTTCGAGCCGAAGCTAAGTGTGTTACAGGGTTATCAATTAACATTTTTAGCACTTGTGTCTCCCATCGTAGCCCGATTAGGGCCCCTTAATTACAGTTATCTTCGAAAGGAAAGTCCATCATTAAGTTCTCACGCCGTAATCTGTTTCAGAAAAGCACACAACTAGCAGTTTTACTCAGCTATAAACCTGTGATCAGTCAACAGAAGTGTCTACACTGTTTTGTAATGTGTTACCAAATGACAGGACGGCAGGGGCTGTAAAATGGAACATAAACAAGAGCATATAGGCTCAGAGCTGGAGAATATAACAGACAGTATTCACATAGACAACAGGAAGCGATGTCATTTCTATACAGGAAATGTGGTTAAATAGTAAACAAGGGGCTCACATGATAAAGTGTGAAAGAAAGAAAAGCAAGCAAAAAAATCAACACAGAGAAAATACTAAAAGTTTTATAACAAGGTCATTATATAGAATAGTATTGAGAAGTGAGGTACAACACAATGTGACCCATAATGATAAACAGAGGACAATGTTTAGTTACAAATTAAACAAATAAAGGAAGGAATGAATAGAACCTCAGACAAAATGTAACACAGTGTTGCCAAACATTAAGTTATAGTTTGACAGTAGACTAGTAGATACTAATAAAAAGCTTTACCTTACTTAAAAATGTCCTCGTGCAAATCTTCAATAAGCAGGGAGAACAGCTCCACAGAAAATGTGAGTTTATAAAAGATGAGAGCAGAAACAAAAGTCAAAGGGAACAAACCAGACGGCACAAACCAGTCAAGAGCAAAAACGCCCCAGAACCAGACACAACAGCTCCCCAAGTGGCACTGCCATTAACGCAGAAGGACGTCGCTTTTCAAAGGAACCCCTTTTCCCACAAAAGAGCGCTGGAACACCAAGGCCATTCCAAGGGTACTTGTCCCGGCACAAGTGCGGGCTTACAGTGAGCTAATGCCGGGCGATCGTCCCAAGGATTGCCTGTTCTCCGTGACTCTGAGCGAAGTCTACGCCTTTGTGTGTCCACGAAAGTGTACAAACAGGCCCACCTCAGTGCCACCCCCCACCGGGGATTGGTGTTTGGAACAGGAGGTGCTCAGGTAAATGATTTACCTTCGACTCCTGACTGCCGGTAATGTGGTAATGCTCCACACCTTCTGACATTGAGACGCTGAGCAAACAAAACCGTCAGACGACCTCCAACACCTATGCCCACATCAAGCGCTGAAAGTCGCAGCGTAAACGATGTCATAATGCCATTTGTGCAATAATTCCTGTGACTTCCTGTTCGGAAGCTTGCATACCAGTACAAAACTGCTTCGACAAAAAACCTGTTGAATTTTGACGTAATACTATAAGTACATCCTGCAATGGTAAACTTCACAGCAGTGTTAAAGAACAGGCCCATGTACTGTCAATTTGAAAGAAAATGCGATGATCTCACACTGAAAAACTGCAGTGGAAAGCCCAAATTACACACCAATAATTTGATCACAATAAAGAGAGCTATCTTCATACCAATTACATCAGCTGACCTGTCTCACACCATTAGGTGACCTGTCAATCAATCGATGAGTCATTACAGCAGGGTTGATCCTCGGAGGTAAACAGTGACTTATGGGTGTAACAGACAAATCGAGACTAGACAGGAAATGTCGCCCTATGGCTTAATTAAGGGATGAGACAATTACCTAGCCAAGCTCTTGTTTTAATGACTGGGTTTTCTTCTCTATTCTTCTTGGTGCTCAAGTTTCAGTAGAGGAACAGTTACCACAATAGGATGTGTGATCATACCTATACCAACTGTTACAGAAGCAAGTCAACTGTGAAATTACCTAAAATCTCCCAAGACAGATGTTAAAAATTACCTTATAGGAATGTTTATAATAGCATTCTATGAGATGTTGAAGGCTACTTTTCTTGAGTCTATATATGTACTAGAAGGTTGTTTAGAAAGAAAGATATGATTTTTTATGAGTAGCTTGTCCTGTCAACTCAACACTTTAAATAAATAAGATATCTTGGTAGAGGTTACACCTGGAAGCTTATCAATAAACAAAGCATCTATGATAACCAGGTGTGCTACAATATTACCGCTTGTCAATCAAAACTGTCTAGATCTCTATTTAGGAAGTGAAGACACGTCAATCCAAAATCCTGCTTCAAATCTTCCTTTGTGTTGAGAAGCTACCTGTGTAGAAGTAATAAGCTTATTGTATCAGATGGTACAACAAGACAGGCCTGTAATATGTGCACCGAGGTGTCAGCAGTAAGCTTTGCGTTGCCAGGTTTCACCAAACGTTGTTGTCTTCGTTTCCAGGCCCCTGTAAAGTATCGGAGACTGGTTGAAACTGCTTTCTGTTTTTGCTGTAAACACCACGTTTAAATGAGACGTTGTCAACTTTGCACCTTTTCTATTGACTAACAACAATACCCAGCCCTAACCTTGTACCTTAAACAGCTACCAAGCTCTACGATTACAAACCTTACAGAGAACATTTTCACCTGTACCTGAACAGGTAACATTCCAACCCCTACTATACA